ACTTTTCAAGTCAAGTCACCTTTACAACTGTCCTCACTAAATAAACATCCCTCCTTCTTCAAACAGCTCTGTGATCAAAGGAAAAGCTAAAGTTCAGTGCTATTCAAGAATTTTCTTTGTTTTTCTGAATGTTTGCTTATATTTTGTTTGATGATGTGGAAGTTTCAAAAAATATTCTCTATATAGTATATCTATAAATGGATTTTTTTTCAATTTTATTTCACTATTTCCAATTACCACATAAAATACTGCTTAGATTTTTCCATGCTGTTTAGATGGATCAGAGTATTGGTTTCATTTAGGAAGCAATCTCCTATTTTCATAAGCAACTATATTTTTAACTGATAGATAAGAGTTGTATGGATTTACTATGTACAACATGAGCTCTGTTGTACACAAAACATAAAAACAATCTTAACTCCTTTGGACTGAATCTAATGATGGGCAGAGAAGTTCAGTGGGTAGTCCAGTGTCTTCATGATGATGGTGTCTTGTGACTTTGATCAAAACTGAACTTTCCTGAGCTCTTTTCCTTATCATTCATAGATTCTGGATAGTGCCTGTTGATTGTCTCATTGTTACATTCTAATATAACAAATATTTTGTCATTTTATTGAATTTTTTCCCTTTCCCCTCCTATAGCCAATACATATTGCATCTTTGCATTAAAAATATTTCCTACTAGCATGCTTTAATTCTTAAACTGAAAACTCATTTTGAAATTATTAGATGAAGTCACAAATCAAAAAATGTTTCAATTTAAAATATGAAAGATTAATATCGTATCTATGCATATCTATATATTTAAAAAAATCACTGAACTTCGAAACTTTAGGAAATGTTCAGTTGTTTGCTGACTTTCCCTGCTCTACATCTCTGAACTGGAGTAACACATCCACTTTAGATGTGGTCTACGAATGAATTTCCTTAGCAGATAGGTGCCATCGTCCTGCACAAATTACAGCAGTGTGTTGTCTAGAATTTCACAACTGCCATTGGTCGAGGTCCTTAGAACTTAAAAACTGTATTTAGTATGTCTCTCCCCTTCTAAAAGACTCTTTCAAATAAAGTTATCTAGTTTTACTTGACAATATCCAAATGTTTGTCATCCAGTCCCTGAGAATGTCAAGCTAGCTTCTAGAAACAATATTGTGGGCTTGTACATCAACACACATTTTTTTTTTTTAATGAGAGAAAAGAAAAAGAAAAAAAGCCATCCTTCCCTCTGATTCCCAGTGTTTCCACCCCTTCTCTATAAAGTGGCAGCAGGAAGAGCAGGGGTGGGGGCAGGGCAACCTCCCAGAGGCACAGCTTCGCTAATGTAATTCCATAAATCAACTAATGGGAGAGAAACCAGATCTGTGTGGTCTCTAATGCTGTCCCACAGAGATCAATCATGTCACCTGAACAATGTTCAGGAACTAAGAGGCCTGGCTTGCCCATGGGACAACTTTATCCCTGGAGTTACATTAGATTGGGATATTTTAAAAAGTTAAATCTTTGTATCACAAAAATAACGGTTGTGTATAAACAGTCTGAAGGATTAAGTTTGCAAGATAAAGTATTCAATTAATATCATAATAATCTCCTACACGGTCACATTTTAAATACATCTAGGAACTTAATATTAATTAAGGACATACATTTTTAAACTAAATTTTGTCCCACAGGAATATAACACATTTGTATCAACTGCTTTTAACAATTAGTGGCTATTTGTTAATATAGAGATTGATGAATGAGCAGCGACATATGCAAATGCGCAGTACACAACACAGAGCACCCACTATTTCATTGGCATTACTACACTGAGTGCCAGCAAGGAGCGGTTTCATAAACATCACTTGCTCTTAAAATGGGACTAAGCAGGGATAGGTCGTGTTTAAAGGAAGGCTAGGAAAGGGGGCTTAAAATGTGGGCTAAAATCCCAGAACATCCATGTGAATTTTTCTTAATCTTGTTTTACACAGCCTGAAAGCAACCTGAGAATGACTTCAGTGTCTGAACTAAGAATAGGTCAAAGGGAAGAAGGAGGGCACATCACAGGTTTGGAGTGCTAAGTAAGACTCTCAGTTGTGATTAGTATGCAGACGTTCACTTCTCAAGTGTCCGTAAGTTATGGCCACAAGTATTAGCTACTAAGTTTATGACTGAAATCCAAGGCCAGACCGTCAAACAAAAGTCCATCTACCCTCACAAACATCTCCTGAGATGATAATGGATCAAATTAGAGACAGGAAACCAGCTCTGCAGGGGATTTTCCAGCTTTGGTTCAGTCATTCAAGCTCTCTGCTCTGTACAGAAGCCCTAGAAGTTTCCTACAAATGTAGCCTGAGGTTGCATGCGGGTTTGAGGTAATCACATTGAAATTACCTTATTCGTGACCTAGATAAACACTCAGACAACTTTGAAAACTTTTTTTCTTTCATTCTGCCCAGTATTCCATTAATGATCATGGCCTTGAACCACAGCCCATGCTCTGGTAGGAAGGAACCTTCGGTCAGGAAAACATCTGCAAAGGGAAATGGGCATTCTCTCTCATCCACTCCCTACCTTCTGAGGGGCCACAAAATTTTTGTGCATGCTAATTTTCAAAATCAAAAATGATCCTATGATGTTTGAAATCATGAAAAAAATTAAAGTTAGTAGGAAAACATCGAGAGAGAGAGAAAGAGAGAGAGAGAGAGAGAGAGAGAGAGAGAGAGAGAGAGAGAGAGAGAGAGAGAGAGAGAGAGAGAGAGAGAAGAAATATATGAAGCCTGTTTAGACGAACATACCAGCATAGAAACATGTCCAAAAGCCCATTAGAACTCCCAGGCAACTCCTCTGGAGTGGTTACTGTCTAAGTAAGTAAGAATCATTCCGTGGTCCTCTCCACTCCATTCTCTGCGATGGTGTACAGGGTGGGACAGGGACGAGAGTTGAAGCTGAGGCCTAAGAATGCCCAAACTATCAGGCTACACATTACTTTTCAAAGAGAAAACAGGAGCCATCTAGTCCTATTCACTGGCCTTTGCAGGAAACTACAATGCAAGGTGACTTTTAACTTTCCATGGTCTTCCAGACCTAGAGAAGTCACCGTAAATTCACCCGTGAAAGAGAGTTCGAAAGTTAATTTTTGCCGTCTGAGAAATGCATGAACGTGCACTGTAGCTGCTGTTATCTTTGCTGGGCCAGAGTTGCCCAAAGGAAGGACAATGAAGCAACCTGTGGTGAAATTAAAGTTCCCAAGAAGACATGGTGTCTTTATAAAGAGAAAGACATGCAATATCGTGATGGGACTGCGGTCCATGGTGCTTCTGACTTCGTAAATCCCAGTCCCTTGGCCTTGGCTTGGACCCAACAAAGTAAAATGATCCATCTTCTTTGTAGACGAACCTGAAGCAAGATCTTGAACTTTTCCCTTTATTCTTTGAAACTCCTAATTCTCAGTGATTCAAAGAAAACATCCCTAGACCACGTTCCTAATTTTTAAGAGAATGTGCAAGTATTCCTCAGAACAGACTGCGATAGTCACTCTCAACCTGCATTCTAGTCCACAGGACCTTCCCAAACAGTAAACTGAGGACCCAGTCTCACATATGTACAAGCATACTAACCTTACTCTATTTCATCACAGACTGTGATTGCCTGTCCACAGTTCCTTCTTAATATGTCACCAAGACAATATACCTGTAATTTTGCATTTCTTCCTTTCGTGTTTTGATTAGAATATCAAATAAAATGTTTCTCACGTACATCAATCTTAATTTGGAATGTAGTTAAAAGCCTAATTTTAGCATTACTTAAGTGACTAATGTCTGTTTTAAAAACCTATAGGAGAAGTAAACTATCATTTACTATATATGGTATCACTCAAACCTTCTCTGTTTAGAGCAATTTTGAAATCACAAAATAGATACTTTGTCAGATATAGAACCCAAGGGAAATGTAAAAAAATAATAAAACAACAACAGTGAGTTTTCCTGGAACTACATAAAATATTTTAAAAATAAAGCACCCATTAGCTACAAGAGTAAATAACTACCACTTCTCCTAGTCACATCTCAAAAATGGCTGGTGGCTATCAGCTCTCTATAACATTTCTGCTTGCTAAAAAAAAAAAAAAAAAAAAAAAAAAAAACAAAAAAAAAAAATAAAAAACAGAAATTCTATCAGACTAAGGAGAAAATTACTCAAGAAAAGGGTAAAAATCCTCCCTTGAGTCCAGGCATTTCAGAACACACACACACACACACACACACACACACACACACACACACATATATATATGATATATATGATAGATGGTATATACACATATGTATGTATGCGTATAATGTAGGTTGTGTACCACGTGTGTAGTGTTAGCTCTGGGCCTCTGGTAAGTCCTTTTTTAGCCATATATATATATATATATATAAAATATATTTTTTATGGTGGGTGTGTTCAGTATTTTGGGCAGAGCTATTTGTTTGGGGTTTTCCTGAGAGCACAGTTTAAACCAGCAAGGGAAAAATATTAACCATACTCAAATGTAAAACTTCGGATTCTTAGACCAATTGCTTTTTTTCCAGAGGTAAGAAAGGAGGGGCACCCTCTGGAAGAAGGGCGGTTCCAGGTGAAGTGCAGCTGGGAGGGTGATGTAGAGGCCATGCCCTCTACAAACCACCTATGACACTATGTTACAACCTGCAAGAAGCTTCAGAAAAGGGGGTGCTGCGTCTTGAAGCCAGACAAGAAACCCTGCGGGGGAGAGGAGAAGGGGGGGAGGGGGGAGGGGGCAAGACTGGGAAACAAGAAATCATCTCCTCTGACCTCTAGCGAAGTGCCAGGTTTTTTCTTTAGCTCTTCACATTTTCTAAATTTGCAGATCTGGTGTCCCGTTTTGCGGTTCCTGCAACTGCTGCAGACGCCACAGTTGATGAGCCTCTTGCAGGGCACGCAGACCCCACACCTTTTCCTCTTCTTCTTGGCGGGGTTGGCTCCGCCAGCTCCCCCCGAGGAGGACGAGGAGGAGGAGGAATGATTCTGCGGGCAGTCTGCCAGATTGGCAATTTGAAACGCACTGTCTGTGACGGCTGCTGAGGCTGCTGCGGGGGAGTGAAGGGCTGTCATGACGATGACCCCTGGAGGTAATGAGATGCCCCCTAAAGCCGGGATAGCGGAAAAAGTCCCCACCCGCTCGGGGAGATTCATTATCTCTGCTTCAGCAGCGCCGCATTTGAGCTTGTTCATGCATTCCCCCGCCAAAGGTCTGCAGTGTTCGGGGGATAAGGTGGAGAGGAAATTAGTATTTGCCATTTGCAACGACGGCTCTGGCGGACAGCCAGCCTTCCCCAGCCGCTGGGAGTCGTTCCGGTGGTGCATGCTGGTCCTGCCGCCGCCACCGCCGCCGCCGCCGCCGCCACCACCGCCGCCGCCGCCGCCACCGCCGGCGGCGGGGAGGATCGCCGAGGAGGAGGCGGAGGAGGAGGCGGCGGCCGAGGAGGATTTCCTGCCGGCTCCGCCGCCCCCACCCCCGCCCCCGCCGCCCCCGCCACCGCCCCCGCTGCCCCAGAGCATCGCGGTGGCGGCGGCGGTGGCCGCGTTGTCGCAGTTCCACGGGGACATGCCGATGCGTGCGGCGGCCGCGGCGGCGGCGGCGCTGCTGGGGAAGATGGGGGTGGTGATGCGCGCGATCTTGGCTGCCTGCGGGAAGGCGCCCCCGTTGGTCTTGTAGAAGGAGGTGGCAAAGGAGCGGTAGCGCTCCATCTCCGAGTTGTAATCCACAAGGCTGTTCAGGGCCCCCTCCGGCAGGTGGCTTTCCTTGGGCAAGCCCGGGGCCTCCGGGCTCGGCCCGGGCTCCACGCAGACATTGGTGTTCATGGTGCAGGGGGGGAAGAAGGGGTGCAGGGTGGAAGTGGGGACCGCCTGGTCCGACACCTGGGTGGGAAAGGGGGAGAGGTGGGAGGGAGGGAAGCGGGTGATGGTGGGGTCGGGGTACCGGCCGGGCCGGGCAGGAAAAGGGGATCCGGGTTGGGAGAGCAAGGTGAGGGCTGCTTTAGTCCTCTCTGGGGCGCATGTCCACAGACGGTGAATTCCCAGGCAGTGTCTTCCTTTGCATTATCCTCCAACTGTTACAACTAAAATAAAGAAAGTCATTCCAACGAGCTGCACGAGGAAGAAATTAAAAATAAATAAACAGCCACCCTCGCTAGCCCACTGCAGACACCACAGAAAGCTCCCACGTTCTCCAGTCGGGTCGTTTGCATAACAATCATCAAGACGTGACCCCCCCCCACCCCCTAGCACTCCCACCCCCTGCTCCCTCTCCCTCCCTCCCCGCAGCACACCACACAGCTCCTCCCCACCCCCCACCCCCATTCTTGTAACCCTCCTGAGAAAAAATGTATTAATAGCTAGAGTACCCAGGGAAAGAGGAAAGACGGGGGTGACAAATGCCGAGGGAAAAGGGCAATTGGAGTGCTAAAGACATGCAAATCAGGGGTGGGAGGGCGATACTACCTATAAGCAGAGGGCATTTAAACATTATGAAATGTGTGAACAAGTGCTGCCTGGGCATGCAAATGTTGTAAAGTAGAAAACAGCAATGGTCCTATGAGGAAAACGAGCAGGAAATTAGCAAATGAAGTACTGAGAAAGTCTACAATACATCCGAGCCTAAACTGTAAGCAAACACAATACAACTGAGAGCTACAAGACTGCCCACATACAATCTGAACTAAAGAGGCAGGGGAAAAAAAGAACTACCAGCTGCCACAGTGTCCTTCAGTGTCTGTGGTCATTAGTTTGAATCCCAGCACAGCTGGCTCTGTTAGGGTCTTAATTCAATGGACCAAGGACAGGTCTCAATTGTACAAGCCATTTGGTGGTGGGGCTTGGCTGGGGCAAGAGGGTGGTGTATTAGTTGTTTAAATGAAAGGAGAAAGAGAAAGACGGAATATGTATACATAGATCTCAAACACAAGCAGTGTCACAGACTCAGAACTGTCTGCTGCCTCTGTAAGAATACCCCCCCCCATCATTTCTAATGGAGATTGCTATCTCCTCCCAAGAAAAGAGGAAAGCAAGGGACTTTTTAAAAATCTTTCACCAACACTGATTTTTGCATAGAGTGAAAGGGAGATTCCCTTCAGGTGTTGTTTACCCAAAGAACCATTAAGATGATTTTTTTTCCCTTTTGCTATTTTTTTTTAAGAGGAAAGTTTAATCTTAACTGGGTATTTGCATTTCTCTCTCTGCTTACAGGCCATCATTAAGCTTTAGGAAGATGTATTTCGGTTGCTTATTAAGGGGGGAGAGGTAACCCGCAGCCATTTAAGAATTAAAGCCAAGATGTAAAATGTATATTCACCTAAAAAAAAGAAAACAAACCATCAGTTTCTTTGTTCCCTGTTTTTTTTTGCCAGAGTACCTTTCTCTGGCATCTTCTGAAGCCTATAGATTTGTCTAGAAGGTGGAGTTCAGAGAATTTAACTGAAGGCCTAGTAGTGTCTGTCTCAAATCTTCAGAGTTTCAAATGCATATCAATTATAGTAATTATGCTTATAATTAATGAACCATTTATGTCCAAACTCCAAGTGTGAAAACTTCAAGACCTACTGATGAGGCACCCTAAAAAATGGGTTCATGTAAACAAATCCCTATTAGGCAAAGTAAATCAAGATAAGGAACCTCCCCCAGGCTGGATTAGAAGCTAGCAGGCATGCTTCAATCACAGCAAGTCCCTAATCACTCAGGAACCACCTCTGTGATTTCACATTAGGAGAAACTGCTTCCTTCAGAGGTCTGCTGACAATACAAAGGTGCCCCCAAATCCTCCTGGCTAAATATTCCTGACACTTGCAAAGGTCTGGGGAACACACAGCAAGAATATGCATGCAGCTTCAGTTTCTGCGGATCACATTGAAGATGCAAGACCATAATAACTGCTACTCACTAAAAACTAGTTAGGCCAACCATGCAATAGGGCATCATCACAGTGAGTAGAGGGAAAATTTTAACATTTTAGTCTTCTGACCTTGTTCCAAATAAAGAAAGAATTTAATATCCCCCTTCAGGGTCTTAGTGTGGTGTTTCCAAACAAGCTGTCCTTGCTTCTCTGATTGCCACCACCTCCCCCCTTCCCACCTCTAGGTTCAATGCCACCAGAAATTGTAGAAAATGATTGTGCCCAGTATCCAGGTCATTATTGTTTAATCAATGCATCCCTGGAGCATGAAAAAGGTATCTAAGCCACAGCTATTGTTTGGCTTTTATTTAGCAACAAAATAAAACACACACCAATAACTATAGTTCTAATACTAAAGCTAAATTAAACATCCATACTTCATGATCTTGCTTTGCCTCTGAACAATGTGACTGTACATGCCTAATACTGTATGTCTGGTCTACCAGAGACACGGAGATCAAAGGTCATATTTAACATTCAGGAGGAGGGGCGGGTGCAAATTAATTAATTAATTAATTAATACAGCCACGGGTTTTTATTGCTGGAGTCCAGCATTAATCTACTTTTACAATCCCACCGGACAGCAAACATTTAAGAGAGAAAGAGAGAAGGGGGGAAAAGCCAGAGGAAGAGAAAGAACAATCACTTACCAGTCTCTTTTTATTTGGGGAGCCTTAGAATTTGCAGACGCTGCCAGTCTGCCTTTAATTAGTTGCACATCACCCCCTAACACAAAGAAACACAAATCCAGATGTGTCTTGGCAGCTCCCAATTACAACTTTAATACTTGTAAACAAACTGTTGGGGATGGGGGGGTGGGGTAAATAAATATGCGGATGAAAAAAAAATACCTGTAAATGGCTTTTTTTTTCTTGTTGCAGAGAGGAGGAGGAGATGGTGTTAGTGGAGGGGGTGGAAGGAGGAGGAGGTGGGGGTGGAGAGGAAAGCGCCGAGTGTGAGCGTGTGTGGGAGAGCGCGGGGCTGTTGTCGGTGGTCTCTGCTCTTCCCAGCGCGTTGCTCCCGGTCCGTCTCCAGTCGCTGTGTGCGAGGGAGGGAGGGAGGGAGCCGGGGAGTCTCTCTCTCTCTCTCTTTCTCACCCTCCCCCCCTCGCTCTGTTTGTGTGTGTGTGTGTGTGTGTGTGTGTGTGTGTGTGTGTGTGTGTGTGTGTGTGTGTGTGCGCGTGTGTGCGGTGGCTGGGGGAGGGGAGCGCAGAGAAAGGCGAGGGAGGCGGTGCGGAGCCGGGGGCGGGGGCGGGCCGCGGCGCCGAGGTGAGCAGGACGCAGGCCGCGGACACCTCCCGATGATTGGCTGCAAATTACACGGGGAACAAGAGGCGCACGCGGGCCAGCGCTCCTTTTCACAAATCCCCAGCTCGCCGGCGCGGCCACGTTTCCCGGCCCGCCCGCCGCCCCGCCAGCACCCGGCGCGGCGCAGGATTTGCTTTTTTTTTTTTTTTTTTCCTCCCTCTGGCAGATAATTGTTTGGAAGGGATGGAAAAGAGGGCGTTCCCGCCCCTCGCGCCCTCGCTCTCTGCGGGTGTGTTTGTGCACGCTGGGCGGGGGGGTGTGTAAATAAACTTGTCTGGGTTCCCTGGCTGAGGAGGGAAGAGCCATGCCAGACACAGAGGGGAGGTCCTGCGTGGTGCAGGGAGGCTCAGTTTCGCAGCGCGGTCGCGTGCTTTTAAATGATCTTCCTGGAGTGGCCGGGAGAGACTCTTTTAAAAAGAATCATTATCGTTTGGGTTTTTTTTTTTTTAAGTAAGGGAGAAAAGGACGGGTGTTCTGGTGGTTCGAATCCTTGAAATGTTATTATGCTAGAATGTAAAAAAAAAAATGATGTGATGCTTGACCGATCTCAGTCTGTGGCTGCCTTTCTCTCCTTCCTGTCTTTCATTCCCACTGCGTCTGGGTCTCCCTGCCCCATAAGGTACCCCACCCCCCCTTACTATATCATCCCGTAGTTCCAAGGAGTCAACTATCCTACCTTCCTAATTTTGATCCAAACTTTATTTTATATCTAAATGATCTATTTTAACTAATAATGTGATGAACACTTTACTTCTCATAACCTGGGGAAAATACTTCAAACTGAAAGACGAATATTTAGCACATCACACATAAATAAAACTCACATAGAAATGCAACTATGAATTAACCTCTTCATTACTGCTTCAAAGAAAATGAGATAACCTGGGCACATGCCCTCCGCCTATTGAACTACACAAGGGCAGAAACAGGCATGAAAAAGGATGTAAATTTTTGAGAGCTTTTAAGTATATTTCTTTCTCCTTCTTCTCTGCCCACTTGGATGGGGCATTGAGAAAGGATCTCACACTGTATCCCAGGGGTTTCTGGAATTTACTATATATAGCCCAGGCTAGCCTCCTTGGCAGTCATCCTGGCTCAGTCTCCAGAGTGCTAGGATTATAGGTGTGCTCCACAGCATCTGCCTCTAAATGAATTTTCTAAGAAGAAACAAAATCAGATAAAGCTTGTTGTAAAGTAGAATAAAGTTACACATTGAAACAAAGACTGTATTTTAGAGTAATATAAGTAGTCTGGTTTCAGAGAAGGAAGAAAATATGAGTTATTTGTTTTGTGAAAGCAAATTGCTAAAAGACAGCATAGACCATTTTGTGTTTGAATTTTCAAAAGATTTACCTTGACCTTGTCAAAATTTGGTCATGTGTAGGTTATGGATAGTGGGTAAGATGGTAAGAATGCTGATGTGCACACTCAAGGTGTCCTTTCAAGAGGCAGCAGTGGTTGAGGTAAAGGCAGATATATTTGTGACTCTGTGTGCCGTTTGTCATGTTTTTAGACATAGGCTAAGTTTGTTTATAAATAGTTATGTCCTTTGCAGACAGAATAATTGGGTAATTAGTGAGACACTTCTACATTCACGTGAATACTTAGCATATTGAAGGAAGGAAATCTTCCATTCAATGCTTGTTTCCTTTCTTTCTTTTGTTTTTGAGCCGAGTATCATATGAAATCTATCAGCAAACTGCAGTCATTTTTTAATGAGTAAATACATTTTACAAAGATTTCCAAGCATCTTTTCAAATACATAGATAGGGTTTGTTTGTTTTGTTTTGTTGAGACAAAGTCTTGCTGTGTACCTCAGAGTAGCCTTAAACTTATCTTTGCATAATGAATACTAAGATTATTGGTGTGTACCATCACACCTGGCTTCCAAGTTTTCACATATTTAAAGCACTGGTTGGATGCTTAAAGCTACTATTGATAACTACTGTTGGCGACCTATCTGTGCTAGGCACTGTGTTAAAAGCCATTTACAGTATCTTATTTTATTCTCATACTTCCACTTTAAAAATAAGAAAATGGAATCCCAGAGAAAAATCAAGAAATTACATTAGCTCATGAAGCTAAAATTTCTACCAAATCCTGTCTCTCTCCAAAGCCTTTTGATTATAACCTCTACCTGAGTTTCATGATCAATAATTAATTGATCAGCAGACCTTCTCTAGATATTAGAATCTTAGATTTAATTATGATTGTAGGCCCCTGGCTAGAAGGCCATCAGCTGAACACACAGGGCAAATTATCAGCAGTACTCCTCACTTCTCAATATGGCGTCCATCTCCTTTCCACTAGAGAACTGACTGGAGGCTTTGGCGATGCAATACAGGAAAATTTCTTGTCCATTTCCAACCTCATTATTTTGACAGGATCTTAGATACTTACATGTCCACAATTTTTAACATTAGTCTACGCCCTGTATTGTTGCCACCAAGATAACATGCCAGAGTTTTGAAAACTGCTTGTTTTTTTTTAATTTTCAGTTAAATCTCATCAGGATCCATAATTCTGTGAAACACTGAAAGTTAAGGATTGCTGTACGCAATGCTTGCCACAGCTTCCAACTAGGAGCAAGTCTCTTCTATCTTCGGTCTGCTTCTGTGATCAATATCACTGTCGTTATCCCAGAATCCCTGAAAAGGTGGTTACAGCTGTTATAACAAGTAAACCCGCAAATGTATCAGTGGGAAACCATAGAAATCCATTGGTTGTCCTTCTGATGGTCATTCCAGGTAAGAGGGTTGCTCAGCTCTGAGCGATTCATAGATTCCCATCTCCCTCTGTCCTGAGGCTTCAGCCTCAACTACTTCTCAGGTGCCAAGCTGGCAGAAGGGTGTAGAGGAGGCAAGACTGATTGGTCTTCAAGTCGAACACAGTACTACCCAAGCTACTGTGTACTTGCCACATGTGGCTGCAAAGATCCCCATCCCTGGATGGCCACCTCCTGAATGCAACTCTATTACTGAGAAGGTAAGAACATCTTGGTGGACAGCTGGCAGCCTCCCATCCACAGCATCACAAGAAGAATAAGCTGCCAAGGACTATACAGCTCTGAATCTCACACACCTCCATTCCTTTTCCTCCTGGGGGGGGTATTTTACTAATTACTGGCTTTTGAGATTACCACTGTAAAAGACAGTTTCTCTCTGAGTTTATGGAAAGTTTGGCAACTAGAAACAAATTATGCTTCCTTAAATACCTAAGGACAGACAAGCTAGAGCTAGATCGTCCAAATAAAAATTTACTAAACAACAAAGCAAGCAGAAATAATATTGTTAAAGGAAGTGTCATAAACTGGAATTAAAATGGCTTAGAGATAAATTTTGGGTGATGTCAACTTCCATTTCTCCCTCTAAGAACTCTATGTGTTCAAAGCTGCTTTCCTCACCTTGCCATGATCAGATGGAAAAAATGAACAATTATAGTCTAAGCACTGTTACTTATCCAAGAGACTTATGCCTATAGTGATCATATAAGAGGGAAATAACATTTCACAGGACTTAATAGTTGATGTTAAGGAAACTTTCAAAGTTTACTTGGTGCTGTGAATCCACAGTTGTGATTTGATTAGACGACATTTCAAAAGTCTGCACACATTTCCTTGTCTTTCACTTCCAATTAAATATGGGCACATCAGCATCACCACGTTGACCTTCATATTCGAAGCTGGTACTTTTTTTGCTGCTCACACAGGCCGTTGTGAGTTGTACGCTGCCTTTCCAGCTGTCTTCATTGTCTTACCATGCTTTTCTAATGACGAGGTAGACTCATCGACGGTTTGGCTGGCTGCAGTCAAGGATGAAAAGCTATGGCAATTGAGGGTAATGAAAAGAATAGGTTCACAGGGTTAAACCTATCACCCTGGCCCCATTAGCACTGGAGTCAATTTAGTAATCGAGCTAAGCATACTTACATGTTTTTAAACATAGTTTGTAGGCCAGGCAAATGCACAGCAAGGGCTATTCTGGGCTTTACATCTGTAGAATTGTTGTTCTTCATGGGACCAAATTTGGTTTTGCTCCATGCTTAGCTATTATGGCATTTCTTCCTGTCATATAATTTCCTCTTTCTACAAAATTACAGGTGATGCTCATAGCAGCACAAGAGAAATTATCCCCAAGCACAAAAAATCTATATATTTTCTACGATAACCTAAGAAAAGGACATCTCCAGAAGACTGATCTTTCCACAGGCTCACTCAGCTTGATGGAGATTAGAAGCGCTCTTCCTTGTGCTTTGCCATGAATATTTGGGATGCTTTGCTCACTGAGTTTTAGAAAAACTTTTCAGATTTATTTCAGTGTATTTACTTAAAGGAAAATACCTGTTGGTTGTAAAGAAAATATCAAGGATGGTAAGCAACTTCTAAAATAACAGTTCTGAAAACAACCTTGAAAGTAGAGTCACAGGCTGTCCGTCGAGGTCACTCTTTTCTTATACCTGAAGTATCAAGACTCTTGGCACGGACCTTTCCCTAGAAAATGGACTTGGTGCTGTGTGCTTTCTGATGGTGGCTCTCTTCAAATGGTGAATAATGAAACACAGCATCAAGTGTGGAAATACGGTGGGGATATTTGCAGTGATAAGCTGACTTCATCTGTCGTACAGCACTGTTCTATCAACAGGCACACAGTGTGGCAGCAGCCTGATTCCCTAGAGCAGAGTCGGTTTCTGCCCCAGGTCCTGCCTTCTATACAGTGTATATCTGACAGGGTTTACAGAGCACTGGAAACAAAACAAAGCCCCTCTGAGACTCCTGCTGATTCTCAGTCAAAACCCCAAATACAGTCAATGTCTCCTAATGGTCTCTGTGGCTGAAAAGAAAGAGCTGAGCTTTTTATAAAGTGAAACTTCAAAAAAATAAAAATAAAATAAAGTAAAACTTCTGTGCAGGCAGCAAATGTCCTAGAAACAAGTCTCTGAGTCTTTAAATTGCCCAATGAGACACCAACAAAGATTCTCAAGAAATCTCAATAGTGGAACTATGCAAAAAAAATTGACTTTTTAAAGTCATGAAATTAGAATTACAGAAGTACTGTGCTTTAAGTTCCATAAAGCTGAAAATAAATGTATGCATTTGAAACTATTTTCTATTAAAATCAGTTTCATTTTGCCTTTTTGTGTTGTTTGGTTGGTTGGTTTTGGTTTTGGTTTTTGGTTGGTTTTTTTTGAGACAAGGTTTCTCTGTGTCAGGAACTCACTCTGTAGACCAGGCTGGCCTTGAATTCAGAGATCTCCCTGCCTCTGCCTCCACAGTGCTGGGATTAAAGGCATGTGCCACTATGACTGGTTTTTTCAACCCCTTTTTCTCCCTCTATTTTTAAATCCAATGAAGAAATTTTTCATAAAAATATTTGCAATAGAATTTAATTTTTCTTCTAAATGCAAAGTTTTAGGCTTCCATTGTAATCTAGATAGCCTCATTTGCAAAAATCCAAGTTTGTAAATATTGTAGTCTTAACATTTTATTTCTAATAAAAAATATTCACTATGTTTTTCTACAATTGGGTGTTTCCATTGTTCATTTTAATTAACCTTGAAAAATAAACAACACATTTCCATTTTCCTTCATTGAGAAAAAGAATTCTGGGTAATATCAATGAGTTGTTAAAATTTAATCTGGGCAGGATTCCCACCCCATTCCCAGAGCTGACCTTTGCTATTCTGTAGTTATAGCAACAAGAAGACTTCCTTCTGTCTGTCTGCTGTATTCTCTTTCCAAAGTAATGACAGCCTTTTATATACTGTTGTGTAATATGGAGAATGGTTTACATTCTTCGATTTCTTGATTCATTGATGCATTTAGCTAAACCAGCAGTTTACATGCAGATTTAAAAAAAAATACAATCAATTGAAGTGGAGTTGCCATGGTACACATAGTATACATGGAATCTGGATCATTCTTTTAAGTATTGTTTCATATCATCTTCAAGCTTCCTTAATCAACTTGCAGTCTAACGTCTCAATAATCAAGTTGGCTTGTCCTATCATTATATCTTAATCTAAGCGTCCAGAGAGGAAAAGACATAAAACAAACAGGATCCTTTATAGGGTAGTCATCTCATGTAAGAATACAGAACTGAGCTGCTAAATTAGGCCTTATGGTTTTCCTCTGACCTTGGGTATTTTAAGTCTCATTTTACCAGCCTGAAATATCACTTTAATTATAGTAATTACCTATCTCACAGGGTTTGTGAGGCTTAATTAATGTTGGCAAAGTGTTAAAGCTATTTAGTAGAACAGTACTATGGAAGCAAACTACCTGAAAATACAGCCTCCCACCTTTCAGAGTTCTTCATTCTACACTCCTTTTCTTTGTTTCTTCAGCATGAACATCGCACTTGCTCCTTTTTGGAAACTTTCACTTCTATATTGTGGTCTTTTCTTCTTGGAATTTACCTTAGATGAAAATGTTCCTGAATCAGACAGGCTAGGAACTAAGCGTCGTCCTCTCTATTAAGGAGACATCACATTCCTCTGTTCGGTCAAAATCATAAATTTCCAGTCAATAATTGTGAATTTTGTTCTCAAAATATCCTTTGTTTGGAGCCAACAAGGAGTCCAAAACTGGTAGATCTGCTTGCTCCATTCTGGAAATGGTACCTGGGGCCACTTCTAATAAAGCAGCCTCAAGTTTACCCGCATTTTTGGTACTCTTTACTACTTAACACCTGTCCATCTATATCTATGTCTAGGCACTAGAATTTGTAACTCAGGATCTGTGTACATTTGCACTGCCTGCTCATTGCATAGCAGTGCCTGGCTGGATGGAGCAGTGGTGGCTCACATCCAGCCACTAGTTCTCCTAGCCATGCCATGTTCTTGTGGGTCTAATTTCCACAAAGGTATTAAACAGAGACCAGAAATGACTTAGCTAGTAACCCAAGTTAATTAGTAGTGGAAAGTAATCACACCCACACTTACTAGTATTAAAAATAGCATCTCATCTTTGAAATCATATCCTATAGGAATATATCTAGGGTAAGATTAAAATCATGTGCTACTATATCTTTGCCCACTTCAGCCAAAACACATTACATCATGTATCCCAATTTCAAATAGAATGTAAATGGTATAAAATTCTCAGTTGTATTAATTTATTGCTGCTAAGGTAGGGGCTATATGTAATTTGGAATGTGAAAAATAATAACTTAAAACAGGAACACAGATTGAGTAGTCATAGTAACGTAGTTTTTCATTGGAATAATCATTCTTTGAAAGAGAATCCATTGGTCACAGCCCAGTCTCTGTGTCCATTGCTAAAACTTTGCAACAGTACCTTTGCTTGAAGCAGTGTTTCTTCCTGTTTGTAACTTGCCTCACTTGAGTTGCATGATGACAAGATAGCTTTCCATTTGGAATGTTTCTATTTTTAAAAACTTTTATACCTGCGAACTTTGGGCCACACTAATGAAAAGCAAGCACCTCTGCTTTCCAGTGGTAGCACTGACTGACTTACCCACCTTTCTGCACTAAGTTTCAAGAGTTCAAAATTTGAATAGTGCCAACAAGAACTCTATCTATATGCTTTGCTGTCCAGTACTCTTCTTGGAGAAGTCCAGATGTGAAAGTTTTTTAGTAAATTTATTCTCCAACTACAGACAGAGGCTGTCAGAATGCTGCTGAACCTATGACAGAGACTTATCCTAACTGGTTGAAGTTATGAGTACAGAGTAGAGCTGGCTCCAGGCAAGGGGTAGTCATGGCTTACCAATGTTATGATTGACATGATTCCTCCTGTGTCCTACTGAGTCATCCCATCACCTTGACTCCTCTATCAGAATATTTTCTTCCTAGTCACCACTGAGCCAGGCTTGGGCATCATACTCAGACATAAGGCTATTTGAGGAAATAGAAAGGCTTTGTTATGTGTCTTAATATTTAGCATGAAAAAATTGCCAAGAAGCACTACTGATGAACTCCTCCGAGTTAAAATTAGACCACATGTCCACATATTAAACCAACCACTCTCAAAGACAATGAGACTGGCATTCTAAACTTGTGTCATTTATGGGACTAAAGATGGGATCCTCCCTAAGAATGTGACAGGGTTGAGGACAGGAACCATGTTACTGTTAATGTCCAAGGAGATTCTAGGAGAGTCATTGCTGTAGGTTAGACAAATATCACTGTTTGCTGCCTTGTGTAACTTGACTATTCCTTAATTTCTACTACCGTAGAAAGTCTACCCAGATTTGTGCTTCCCAAATCATACCAAATTATGTATAAGAGGAAGTAAGTTTGAATTAATAAGAGTCAGTTCTTCATTGTAAGCAAATTAGTGGATTATAATATCACATATTAATGCCTGTAAATGGAGTTTGTTTTTAGTGGCATGGCATTCTGGGGAGTTTTGATTTCTCTACTAACCTTTATTGAGTCCTATCTGCATTTATTATCATGAGGCCTTCTGTACTGTCTTATACAAATCATGGACTGATCTGCTGAGGGTCTGAAGTATAAGGGATATGAGATAAAATTCTCCAGATGTGAAGAGAAAGAAAGAAGAATGGAAAAGTTGAAGGAAATTAAGAGAAATCATAAAATTTTAGCAGCATAACACATCTAGTTCCATGCTTTGGTCCATTTTGAATATTTTTCCATAATGCCTTCTGCTGGCCCTCAAATCTCATGCCCTAACAAAATTGCAAAGTATCATAAGCAAAGTAAATAGCCAGTCTTTAAGTTTTCAAGTTGATCCCCAAACTGACTCAAATTTGCAAAAATTTGGCATAATTTAAAAGTAAATAAATAGAAGCAACGCTTAACAGAAGGTTCCTAACATAAACAAAGCTGTGCACGTTTTATTTATTTATGGGATCCTGCAAAGTGTCATATTCACTTAAAAATAGTCAGCATGAGAGTGATTGATTTTTAAAAATTGAATAGAGTTCAGTAATATGAGCATTTTAAAAATTAAATAGTTTGGTAAGGGGAAAGGCTTTTTGGATAATATTGTACTTTAGACAACATTTGTCTATTCAGAGTTTTTTAAAGGTTGACTGTGAGAAAATAGCCACTGTTTTTGCTGTTGTAGTTTTACCAAAAGTGCTTTTGAATTGGAATTGTAAAGAATCTTACCACACATAGAGCACTTGTATGTCTCTTGAGAATGGGTGTTAAATGGAAGTGTAATTATTCTACTTTAATCTTTTTCATTCAATAAAAATGTACCATATTCTGAAAAAAAAGTTTAATGAGTTAAAAACCCAATGCCAGTGGAATTTTTAATTTACTGTTGTCTCTTCACGCAGCTAATAGCCATTTGCTTTTCCTCTCTATCCAGGATTGTTCTTTAGCACATTTTCACCAAATATTTCTTTGAACATCTACTATGTACATGATATAATGTCAGCTGCTGAAAAATTGCTCTTAATAGACAGTACTCAGACAACACACGCACACAGGCATACACACAACAACAACAATTACCTCTCTTCTTTTATAAATGGAAGTTTAGAAGTATTTATATGACTATAAGTCAAATATGGCAAGAGAACACTCTGGAAACTTCCATACTATGACTTTCTGAGGATGACCTCACAAAAGTCTTCTTTAAGTAGGAAGGGCTAACACAGAGGAAGGGAAAGGGAGTATGATGCAAAGGAAACCGTAATCGAAAGCTGAGCGAACACAAGCACACAAAGGCTGTGCTGTTGAATATGGCCACAGTGATGAGAACTTTCAAGAAGCAAAATCAGTGATAGTGAATGAAGCACCAGAACAGAATTACATTGCATATAACCTTTAAAGTTACAGGAGAAAGGGGGATTTAAAATGTTCAGGATCTCTGTAGTCAGATGTGCTTTTTGATTGCTTGGTTTGCTCTGAAAGGATCCTGCTGACTTAATTTGGAGAAGATGACTTGGATGGAAGGGGCATTCGGTCCCTTGAGGACATTTTAGATTCAGCTGAAACAGGAAAGAGACACTACAGCTGATGCAGTGAATGTTTATAGTTGATTTAAGGTACACAGGAGCTTCCCAAAGCAAGGAAGGTGATTCAGAAAAGTCATTGATGATGACAGAAAATCCCCTAAGAAAAGGTACTCCTGCACTGATAAGTGGTCCACAGAAACAGTAATGCTTCATGGTCCTCAAAGAAGCTGCCAAGGTTCAGCCCTTGTGTTGTATCAGCAGATCAACTTTGGTAAATTCCCATTATTCTTACTACTCTGAGTATGACTCCACAATCCATTTTTCTCATTAAATACCTAAACTATGATTGTTTCATAATTTATTTTATAGAAAATTATTACCTATTTCATGTGAAAATTATAAACTTGAGGCTCTTGATACATATTTTAACTTGCTCATTTAGAAGCTAATTATTGTACCTATAATGTAGACTTTGCCCCCATAAAACAGGTTTGAAGGACATTGTGGTTCCATGCTTAGCTACATAGTCAATAAGCATCTCTCTTATGGTCTCCAGGAGTCAAGATGTCGAGAACAGGCTGAGAATTCTAACTCTTGCATATTCATTTCTACACTCACCTCATATCCTACTGACCGTGATCACGATGTTTCTGTTAGTGCACTTTTTCACTATTTTTGTGACAACCAGAAACTCTGAATTCCAAGGACCTTGTTTATTTTCTACATTCTGGTTTTCATATGTCTCTTTATACCTACCATTAATCACCTATGTGCCCTTTTGCTCCTGATAGTGTCTATTCATTATTGTCGAAATCATCTCTTTCCTCCTCAGGATCTGTGGAAGTCCCTTTAAATCTTCTTGTAGTGGTTGCAATGCATTTCAGTTAGGGACATTATATACCTCATTGCTCTCTTGAGGAGTTGAAGGGAAAGCTGCACTCTCTCTCATCACCACTTCAGAATATCCTATTCTCTGCAAGCTTTTTACTCCCTGGCTTCAGTATTGTGAGCATCATGCCACACCACCACCGCCTGCACTTTGTTTAAGTCATCTACAGAACTCTGGGCTCCTCTTAAATCAATGAGACATTCACCTTCAGCTCGTGCCTTACACTGCCACAATTCGGTTTTAGATTCCGAGAGGTTTCAAGTCCTTGGTGTATGATGTTTCCAGTACAATGATCATCTACAGTTCTTTCAAAACTCTGTGGTCACACTCTAGACCAACCACCTATCTTTCTAAATCACCCCCTTGAATCTTTGATTCTCAGATATTCCTTAACCCCCCATCTCAGAACGTACAATTCATTTGACCCCCCCACCATTCTCATCCTTTCTTTGTACCTTTGCTTCTCTAAATCCTCATTACAAGACATCTCCTGCAAGCATTTTCAAATTTCCAGTATCCGAATACCTTATTTTCATAGACCTCAACATCTTGACTTTCTCATGGCTAACACAGTTAGAGAAATCCTTTACCTTGATGACACACAGCTCAATGGCCTCCTTCACTCCTGTGTCTATGACTAGAAAAAATAATCTCTGAGTCTACATCTCATTTTAATTTTGCTACAGTTGTTCAGGTAAGTTTTTAATGACACAGCATTTACAATGCTTTTCTCCCTTTTTTGTTTTATACTTTTTATCTTCACACCTATAACACTACCTCCCTACTCTTTATTCTAGTTTCTGCTTTACTGAGTTAATTCATAAAAGCTACAGAAAGAAAACCTCCACAAGCCCCACCTACAACATTCTACTCACCATTAATGATCCTTGCTCAACATTCTTTCTTTCCTCTAATTAGAAGAAACACTGAGTGTTCCTATTTAATGTTCAGACCCACCACATTTTCACTATGCTCAATATACTCTAGCTTTGCTCAAGAAGTTCACTCTAGAAAGGCCCCCTTCCCATCACAAATTATTCCCACCAACTCATTCATTACCACCACTACATAAAACACATTTGCTCTGCTTCCCTAGTTAATCCCATTTCTTCCCTTCAACTACAGCTCCATTCAGTCCTTTGGCTGTAAAATTTCTCCAAAGAACATATGAAAAGTAATATTTTCTTTTTGACTTTGTGCATTGAGCCAGTTTCATTTAGACTCGGATAAAGATTTCCAATGCTTGTCCTTTGCTAGACTCAAATATGACTTCAGTATGCCTCTTCTATTGCCCATAAGTGGCACCTGACATTCCCCACATAGCTTTTAGAAAATCACTCTTGTGGTTAATCTCTTAATGGTGAACTGGTTCAGGGTTGGACTTCAGATAATTTCCTTCTTACCTGTCTATTCACCCCCTTCCTCATTTCGTCCAATCTAAGTACATTAAAATTCATACAGAGTCCAGAAGGCAAATCTCCATTCTGGACTTCTATATATAACTTCTTATCAGGCACCTTTCTCCTCAATCTCCCCAAACTGAATGCTTAGTTAATAGCAATTCCAACTTTTAAGATAAGAAATCTTGGTGTCAATCTCTATTCCCTGTTATGCCTATGATAATTAATTTTCTATGTCAATTCAACTGAGCAAAGGGATATTCAGCTATCTGGCAAAACATTATCTCATAAAACTGCTGGGGTGTTCTTGGGAAAGCCCAATGTTTTCATCTGTGAAGATCACTTCTATCAATGTTGGTGGGCATCATGTAACATATGGAGGTCCTGAAAGGAAGGAAAGTGTGGAAGAGGGAAAATACTGCTCTCACCATTGTCTGGAAGATCTATTAGCACTTGCTTTCATATATCACTGCACTCTTGGCACTTTGGATTCGGGCTGTGACTCACAAGTGAGTTCCCCAGGTTTTGTGAACCTTCCGCTTGAACATAGTATATTATAGGACTCCTCAGCCTCCGAAATCATGTCTGCCAATCCTCCATAATACATTTCTCCTTTTGGCTCAGTTTTCACAAAGAACCCTGACTTACACAATCTCTTACTCTCTATGTCAAATTAATCTGAAAATCTTATTTTTGCCTCTTCTAAAGTATATTAAGGGAGTTTTTATCTTATGCTTTGCTAACCTTCCAACACTGAGGTGATCTGTCCTTGTCCCACCCAATTCTAGGCACTATGATCTTTCACATATACTTGATCTTTTTCTTCCAATAGGATTTATTAACTTTTCTAGGAAAATGTGCTATACTACCTCAATTTTTCTCACATTCCAGTGAAGAAACCCTTCACTTCTCCAGTGACTTTGAACTATGCTGAGCTCTTCTTAGCCTTGGTCCTCCACTAAGAGGCAGTTTTCAATATTATTTCTCCTACTGGGCTTCCCACATAGAACATGTGGTCAGTTGAAGAGGATGAATGGCCTGCCTCCCCATTTTTAAAGTTGGAACTACCTTGAAGTGTCAACCAACTGTAGAGTACCTTACAAAATCCTCTGAGTCATCTAATGTGACTACATCATGATTCATTTCTTTTGCCAAAGCATGAGATCCTCTTCTCATACTGCCCAATTGTTCTTGAGCGGAGTAACTACCCAATCCCTTAAAGTCTCATAAAATCAGACCTATGATCTTTGTACTGGTGTCATCATAGAAAACAAACTCTACAGTAAATATATGGAGCTGGGGCACCTGTCAGCCAGATGGCAATAAAAAACCTCCTCAACAGCGCAGAAGGAACACTGTCAGACTCTGACATTTAGTTGCAGTGAAATTATTAAAAAATTTGGAGGCATAAAACTGAGAATAGACACTAAAATTAAGTCAGTGGCAGGTACACCATCTTAGGGGTTTGAGAAATTGTGGCAATGGTGATTTTAAGGAATTTTTGAATAGGGTGGTTATTTCTGGGGGCCACTGATATATTGGAGAATGGTCGGGGAAACCTGAGGATGACCAATCACTAGTATAAAGAGGATCTTCTGTGGCCAGTGAAGTGCAAAGGCTGAAGATTGTGTTTTATTTAAAGAGGAACTGAGTCCTGGTGTAGTAGTTTAAATGTATCTGACCCCCATAAGATCACAGGGAGTGGCACTATTAGGAAGTGAGGTCTTGTTGGAGGAAGCTGAATGGCATACTCCTTTAATCCAGACTGTAAAACTGGAGGGCACACCTTTAATCTAGGCCACACCTTCTGTTGGAAGTGAGTCACTGTGGGGGTGGGCTTTGAGGTCTTTTTCTCAAGCTTCACTCAGTGTGACAGTGAACTTGCTGTTGCCTCTGAGTCAAGATGTAGCACTCTCAGCTCCTGCATCACGTCCTCCTGCATGCTGCCATGCTCGCC